TATATATATATATATATATATATATATATATATATATATATATATATATATGTATAAATATATGTATACTGAATATATCGTCGTCGACAATATACATACATATATACCTGGACGATGCAGGAAACGCATCTGAAGTAAAACTTGAACAACGTTTTTCCTAAAGAATTATTTGCCTATGCTACGATGTTCTCTCAATTACACCGACTTGTTTATACATATTTATATTTATGTATATATTTATATATTCATATATCGCATATATTAAAATTCATTTCAATTGTGTACTATTAAACTACGAAGTAACAGAGGTAAAGAAATTAAGGAGTTTCAACAAATCTACGTACATAAGACCCACTTATTCATACAAGTTTTTAGAGATACACCAATAATATTAAATTAAATGTAACTAGAGTGAACGTGCAACAAGTTGTCCGTCACACGCCGGGATCTCTTTGCGATTCGCGACTCTTGTCTTATCGTTTAATCGGAATTGAATTAAAATATATTAATTTCGAAAGTAATTTTTATTCACATGGTTGGTTTCTCGTTAGATAAAAATATAAAGTGCCGCGTTGATTGCAATCAATCGTAAACTCTGTAAATACGTAATATACGCACTTTCTTTTTGCAACAAGAAAATCCTGGACAAAAAAATTCCGGACACGACTCTCTGTAAGCCGATCCCGACTGTAACGAATTGGAAGAGAAAAACAATCTAAAACATTACAAAAAAAAAAAAAAAAGAAAATTGCGAAAGGACAACAGGTAACAGTAATGTCTTGTGGCACAATCTGGGAACATTTTACGTGCATAATAAATAGGTACACCAAAATCGCGTTTAATCGTTACATCGCTTATTGTAGGTGCACGCTAATGTCCATCGATTTTGCAGAGTCAGCACTCAAAGTACGTTTCCGCACGTGTACTTATTGAGACGTGTTTGATTTCTCTTTCCTAGGCCATTTTCCGATGATCGCGTTTATACTTTTTTATCCGCAACAAAACGCAATTTGTCTGCATATGTTTTATCTCTTCGACAGTGGCGGTTTCCCTTTTTTAGACACGGCATCGGTGTCTCGTCTCTCGCGTTACGGAAGATGTTCGTGATCATCGGTACCCTGTCTCCTTACTGAACAGAGCTCGAAATACGATTGCATCGTTAAAGACCTTCGTTGCGCCATTAAACTCTACGAATTCTACACGACTCTTTTTGTGCATTTCAGCTTCCATCAGCGGTCGATGTTTTCCTCTTCGTGAAACTGCTCGATTGAATATTCCGTATGAGTAACCTCGTAAGTTTAATTAGTCCGTCTGACCGGGCAAACTTATCAGTCACGCTCTCTCGCCCAAGTTCGCACATGTAGAGGAGGTATTCGCGTTTTCGGAACTATCTATCTTGGAAGTTTACTCACGCAACCCGTTATGTCGTGAGCGGAGGTCTCGTTCACGTAAAAAGATATATTCTCGCAGCGCGTTACTCGCAACGACTTCGCGGATGGTCGCGTGTCATCGTATAAGAACCTGCCTATGCCTCGAGCGACCATATCTTACTACCCTATCGTACCATTACAGCCTTCGTTAAGGTAACTTAAGTATAGCTACTTGGATCTCGTCCTATGGGGGCCTCAGCCTCGTCGGATTGTGCCATACATGCGCTGAATTTTGAATCTTGTTGTCGCTGACACTCGCGGGCAGTTGTTGCTGATGGTCTTGAGCTTGTGACGCGGCGTTGTCTGGCTGCTGTTGCTGCTGCAGCTGCTGTTGCTGTTGGCTTGGCTGCTGCGGCTGCTGTTGCTGCGGTAGTTGATGCGGCTGTAGCATTTTCGTTGGTTGTTGCGCCACGGGTCGCTTAGATTCCTGACCCGTTGAATCGGGCAAGGGTATTGGCCTGTGCGATTTCATGTGTGCGCTTCTGCTTTTCACTTTGTTGAAAACTCTGGAAGAAAAGTGTAATTGGCACGTCAAGTAGGGTGTTGTTTATCGTCTAAGTCCGGGTCCCGGGCGAGACGCGCACGTGAGGTCTGGCGTTGCGAGATATCTACGATATGTGAATACGACGACACCCGGTTGTAAGACTGCGTGTGAAATTCAGCTCGGAAATTCGTGGAGACTAATATAGAAACGATCAAACTTCGAGTTTGCACACAATTAAAAAGAAAAAAAAAAAACATTTCGTTCCGCAAGCGTTGGGCTGCGTCTTCATTTAGGCACTCGGTGTAGTTTAGTTCACATGTGTGTATACTTTCGTATATAAGTGAGGAGTCGGAGATATATTGACACAGCAACAGCGGTCTAACAAATCATGCTTGCGTTATGCGTTTAAATTTAATACTTATTACGACATACCATAGCCAATTCATATGTACAAATATCTTCGTCGGAAGATGAAACATGGAGAAATATAATTAGAAGAACCTAGACAGAGCAAATGAAGATAATAATAGAGTATAGGAAAATGCCAGGCGTAAAAATATTAAATAATTGATGTAAAAACTTTTGCCGATATATTTAAAAAATATATGAAGAATATTTGATTACCGAATTCGGCGAGAAGTAAATATAACAAACGAAATTAACATTTCATAGAAATATTGTTATCGTTTGTTCATTCTGGATTGTTAGATGTTGTATTCAAAATATCTCGAAATAATGATTCTTTATAACATTAAGTTTCTCCTGATATAGATGTATGTATTATGAATGACGTCTATACGATCTCGAAAAATGTGTTTTGACACAATGTATTTTGCAATTGAAAAATATCAATTTCCCAATATAAGATCGCTACACAATACGCACATATATATTCGAGATTCTATTTGTCAAAATGTCTAAAAGCTCAATTGTTTCACGATACTCGTGTTTTTGTGTATGTCAATTCGAAGTGTGAAATGTTTCTTTTTTTCTCAAAGCATGCATTTGCTGTTGCGCTGATCCGCTTTTCTCAGTTGCGACTTGGCGATACTTTGTCATGGTTAAATAAAATATTTCACATATTTCCATTGTCACGAGTCATCTGGTATATATGTGTGGTACTTGTGTGAACCTATATAGTCGGCATCGTATCGCTACTTGGCTTCGGTCAGGTCGTATGCAGAGAAAGGCATATTCTTTCTCTATCAAGCGAAGGTAATAACTATGTGAGATGTGCCGATACTTGCCGCTTACATTGTCGTTAAGGATACGCGCATCGCACGCTCCGCCGTCAATTATTGGAAAATGGATAATTTAGATTAGAGATTGGAGACTTACTTCCCGCAAATCTTGCAGGGGTAGTGAAGTGGGGTGGGCGCGGGTAGTTGTTGCTCAGAACTAGTGTGAGTTTGTGAGTTGGTGTTGACTGTGGCGTGGCCGGTATTGCCGGTTTGGGCGGTTTGGGTGCTCCCGGCCATCGTTACTGTTACACTTCCGCTAAAGCTCTGACAACACAAAGAAAACACAAAGCCAAAATAAACAACACAAACAAACGACAACGGCGACGACAGATAAGTAACGCAACGTTCACACAAACGCACAACATCCTCGGTCTTCTTAAAATGAAGCGTGAGAAAACGATGGATCAACAATCAGTCTCATGCGACACTTAAATGTTCACACGTATGTACGCATGTAAGATCATTTCAGATACACCAAGTACGAGATCTCGTCGATTTGAATTGCATATCCAGCAAGTACCCAAGATATCTATGCGATTCGTTTCCTTCCATTTTCTTTTTTAAGTACTAGGACCGGGTTAGTAATTTGATATGATTTTAAGAACGCAACTCGTACTTAGCGTATACAGAAGAAGTAGGGTATACAGTGAGCAGCAGACATAGAAATAACGTATGCGACTGTAATTAATCTTTTGGAGTTAATAGGATAAGTTATTCCGAATATGCTATGATATACTGTTACAAACAATAGCAGCGAGAGAGATGTATTGCCAAAAACGAGAGGAAAAGATTCGAGATTTATTTTAAAATTAATTTTCCAAGACTCTTAACAGTTGTCATTAGCAGTTAGACATATGACTCGTGTAGTTGATCGTAAAGAACACGACAAGACACGTGAGATTTAATATTCGAGAGATATCGCTACTCACATCTGGGCAGTCGTATGCGAATAACCTCAGCTCTCCTTCGCTGGTGGTCAGTGTCGCCGAATTTTCTCTCTCGTTTGTTTGCAGCTAAAGGTGGGAAGGTAAAAGAACACGTTTTTATAGCCGCGTTAACGCGCTCACACTGTACGTACATGATACGTGAAGTAAATTAAGGCGGAAAGCGACGAAGTTTGAGGCTACATTCAGACTTACCAGGGTACGGTGGAGGATCGACTTGTCCTCACTGAAGTCCATCTCTGTGACGGACGCGATGGCGTCACGAAGTTCCTTGGTGTCCTTGGAATCCTTGCACTCGGTCTTGATCTTTGGTTTACCATGACGAAGGCGCAGCCTCTTGTACTCGTCAGGACAGAGTCTCTTCCAGAGATAGTAAAACTGTACACACTGTTTCGCGCTCTTAGCACCGACGTCCCGCGAGATCGCGCAAAAGTCCTTGTTGTACTTAAGCAGCCCTTGGTAGAATGCGTCCATCTCGTGTGACGTCCATCGGTCGGACTCGTGGCACTCGTAGCTGAGAAGCGGATGTTCCACTGGCAGCGTCGGCGTTGGTCTCATTAATTTCACCATCGCTTCCTGAAAACATATCGAACGACTGTCATGCATTTATTTTGCTAATTATGTTATAGTTTTTTTCACGTGAGTGCATGTTTGACTCTCGATATCAAAGAGGAGCGCAGATTGTCTGAATTCACGAATCGATAGAATTATAAATGAAACAAAACTGGACGATAACTTACATGAATGTTGCCTTTGCACATGTGCAGCAAATGAAGCGCATACTCCTTGTTCCTACCACCGCCCGGCACTGCGGCGCAACACGCGAACTGCAGGTACATCTCCACTGAAAAGCAACAACATTGGTAATTTTCTGATCATTAACTCGTATACAAGACTCAATTGATGTACATCATATAGCAGGAATCGGCAATTCTTCAGATAATCAACAATCATGAAATACAAATAATTATTATATAATGCGTTTGATCAAAAGAACTTTGAATGTTATGTTAGAGAATATAACGGGACTAGTAGAATTTTGTGTACATCTTACATGTGCTGAAGCGTGAAACATCGGACTTACGCTCAGTGCTCGTGAGCACGTTGTTAATGCCAGGATCCCACAGCAGGTGATCGGCCTCTGGTCCGTTTTTTCTCCTGTTTCCGTCGCACTTGATCGGTGGTATCGTGGCCTGATATCTCGTGCCGATGTTGATCCTCGGCGGAGGACCGTCATTGCCCTGAGAGTCGTCCGAGCTGAAGTCTGAGTCCCTCTCGTACTGATGCAGTCTTGCGTACAGTCCTGGCCCAGGACGAGATGGGTCTAAGATCGGCGGTGGTGTATAACTACTGTCCCAGTGGCGATCGCAAGCCTTCCGCAGCCTCGACGGATATGAGTAGGAACTGTTTATATACAGACCACTATCCATACGCGGCCTTTTCCGACAATGCCGAACGGGACTACCGGCGGGTAGACTGCCGGGACTGAGAAACACATCTTCATCTAACAGCTCTTCCTTGATCTGGTCGATAGGTATCGGTAAATTTCCGATGTTCGACTTGTGTCTCAAGATATTATTTTTTGGCGCTTCGGTAGTTTGAACGAGGAACTTGGCCGGGTTAATGACCTGATGCTGATTGAACTGACCCGTGTTGTACTGATGATTGGTCTGGACATTCAAACCGAGATTCACAGGCTCGACCTTCGGCGTCGCCAAGCGAATCTCCTTCTTGAACGATAACGCTGGACTAAGAGAGCCCGTCTGCACCAGCACGTTTGCTTTCTGCAGACCCGACGTCTGTATCAGCTTGAATTCGCCATTGTTGTCGACGACGATACCGGCAAGGTTACCGTTGCCTAGGCCAAAATCCACGAGATTTTGGCTCGTGATTAGTTTGTACGATTGGAACTCGAATCGCCTGCGACCGGCGGTGGTGAAGTCCTTCGGGGTGGAAGAGAGCAGCGGGTCCTCTGAATTTGGCATCATTTGGCTCTGGAGTGCATGATGTGGCGACACAGGGAAACCCGTGCCGCTAGTGAAGGAGACCGGTCTCGGCGACTGTATGGAGGACGGTGGCAGCGAGGACAGTGGCGACGGCGCCGGTGTCGCCGACAACGGGCTTGGCAGTGGCGAGTGCGGATTCGACGAGCCGGATCCGTATAGATCCGCGTCCGCCTCGGATTCGCCTGGCAGTACCTCGTTCAGCGCCTCCTCCACGGCCGCGGCGGACGACATTGTGCTGGTATAGAACGCCGCCGAGAGCGGTGACGATACCTGCCTCACGTTCTCCGGATCCTCCTGCGGACTCAGCAACGGTATGCTCCCGGTGAGGAGGCCCTCTTGACTAGCCGGCGGGGTGGGGTATGTGAAGCTCGGACTGTCGTGTCGCGTCAACGGCGATGGCAGCGGCATCGCCGCTGGCGATGCCGGCAATGTATGGGGACTTTCTGTATATTGCGCGGCGTAAGTACTGAATTCAGCCAAGGAGTCGGGCAACGGAGAGTTCACCAGTGCTTGGAGATCCGGATTGACCGTGTGTTGCGACGAATACCGATCCTCCAGCGTGATATCCTGCAGCTGTTCAGTGGATTGTTCTTGTAACAAACCGGCCGTCTGAAACTGTACGTTAGGGAGATTTAGATTCATGGCGTTTAGCAACACGATGGGTAAAAGTGCTTGTTTATCCATTTGCGAGATCAGACCGAAAATAATTAGAATCAAAGGTATAATTGTTTTTATCCAAGCAGTTAAGTTTGCGTCAGTTTTTCGGCAATAACTAAGCGTTCGTAAAACAACGAATTGATCAGGATGTTTACCTGAATCGAGTCCAACTGCGTGGCGTGTAAGAGCACGCTGTCGGGTACGGTGGTGACCTGCTGGAATACTTCATCCTGTAAGCTCGGGCTGAAGTAACCGCCGTCTTCGGCGTAGCCTGTCATCGTGAAGCTCTCCGTCACTGCGGGCTGTGCTTGCGGCTGATTATTTGCTTGCTGATTCGTCGTCGCTGATTGCACGGGTGGCTGATAAGTTAGATGTAATCTCTGTCCTGGATCGGAAGTTGTTCTCTTCACAGCCACCTTGGCTCCCTACAATTGATTTGCGCATTTCGTGTTATGCAAGCATGCGAAGTGTATGCGAGTAATTGCATAATTATATGTGCTGATACGCAACTTCTTGAAGAAGAATAATTTGTCGAAAAGTATCGCGTCGCAACGCGATCGTGCGAATGATCCGTCTTAATTCGCGAGGGACTTTATCGTACCTTCAGGATCAAGTCGGCAAGCGCTTGTGCTTGAGCCTGATTTTGCGCTTCCTGCAATTGCTTTTGCACAGTTGCGTGACCACCCACAGTGACATTGGGCTGCCGGAAATGCTCGCCGTCAGAGAGCCGACGCACCTTTTCACCCGCTGCCAAGGGTGGCGGTGCTGGTACCGCGAAGTTTGTCTTGCCCGCGATTTGCGAAACGGCGTCGGTCTGCGTGGTGAAAACGGTAGCGTTCGTACGCGGCTGCTGATTGCCATTCGCGTCCGCTGCTAAAACATGTGCATTTCCTGCTGAACAATCCTGTCGTCGCTCTCGCCCACTAAATTTACTCAGGAGCACTTCACGACGTGCAATACTGATGGATTGTACGATTAACATGGGCGACGTGTTGTATATCTAAGGGTTATTATGTATCGAATAATATATGCATCTCTCTCCGTACTCGATGAGGAGAAAGCGTATTTTTGCCGCGATCATATTTTAACTATTATTCACATATTTGAACAGCAAGAGGAATGTTTCTTCTCTAGCAGTTGGCGGTAAATACACGATGTCTCTAGTTTGCTCTCACATTTCAGGTTGAGAATAAACATGGAACGCGGAGAGGAGCTTCTCTGAAGACCCCATATTTGCGACTGCGAAGAAGATAGATTGGTCGGTAAGATATTTTTTCTTTGCTAACAGCCATGTAGCGCGCGTGCGACGCTTCGCTTAGAAATAAACAGAGACGACAGGTCCGCAGAAGACCGTGAGACGGAAAGCGGAAACACGGACGAGAGATTGAGAGACAGAGAGAAAGAGCGCATTCCCGTATGCGTGAACGAGAATAGGTGAACGGGTACGTGCATGTATATGTGAGTGTGTGTGTATATATATGTATGTATGTATGTATACATGTATATACGCGTCGTTCGAAATAAAAGTATCTTTTGTCGCCTCCTTTTTTTTTCTCGATTCGCCCTTCACCTGACAATGGCGGTCGCGAATTGCTGTTCTCTTTCAGCCGCCCGCTGCGCACGTCGACGCTTTTTGTTTTCCCTTTGGCTTTACGTATATATAATTGAAGAGACGAAAAAGGAATAAAGCGCGGAGGATTGGCTGAAGCAATAACATACGTTGCGCCGTGTATATGCTCACCGGCCCCCTCCCCCCCTCCCCCCCTCTTCCTCTCTCCGGCCGCGCAATAAAAATTTTTCGGTACGTTGTATCTCTAAAAATAACAATATTTAAATTTCAAAAAAGCGTGTGCGTGCTGGGACGTCACGGCACGTCCTGAGAACGGCGGGTTTGCTGGAATAACTACATTTAAATTTCAAAAAGCGCTCATGCCGTTCCGGTTATAATGTATTCCGTAGTCCGGCGGGCTGACTCAATTTTTACGAAAGCGCGCGGATGACAGAGTATTATAACCGAGCAGACACGAAATATACATTCGGCCGACATGTCGCGTGCGCGCGCGCGAAATAAATAAATAAAAAACGGTAAAACTGGAGTATCAGAGACTCTTCTGACGATGACTATCGATTGGGAAGAAAATAAAAGAAATGAATCTGCATTCCTTAGTTAATTAATTAAAGTGTTAAAAAGCTGTTAATTGTAAGAGACGAGACCATATCTTCTTGGAGATCTTGAGATTTTTTCTCAATAATCCATGACGTCGTGATTCTCGAGCTGAATAGAGAGAGTGAGAGAAACGAATGTGCATTACTTTAAAGCGCGCCATTTTATTCGGAACGCATGCGAGACTACGAAGGATAAATGGGAGCGTCTTCCCACTTATTTAGACGGCAGTAACAAAATCCACACGCAACTTTTCACTTCGCACTTGGCGCTGCCGCTACCAGCGCGCTGCACCATAATAAATATTCCACCGCTGTTGAAATCGCGGCATACTGAAAAATATATTCCACGGCGCGCACAATCGTTCATGGTGGCCGTGCACAACTCGACGGAAATAAATGCGCGCATATCCTGGGAGCCGCGGGGGGCAAGAGGAGGAAATGGGATTCGTCGAGTGGTACAGCTGTATCGCGACGAAACTTTTCCACGATGATTTCATGAATATCTGGCTAGCCTTCGTTCTGGCTTCGAGCCGGCTTTCGCCCGAAGCGGCTCTCCCTTCGTATTACCTTTCTCTTTTTACCATCCCCGCTCATTATACCGTCCACCGCGGTCCACCGTGCACTCCATACATTTTTATTGCGCGCAACGTATAATTAGTGGCCCTTGCGCGATTTCTTGCAAGTACCAGCGGAACACCACGTATTCACGACACGGCCGGATGTCGTGTATATCTGACGCATCCCCGGCGAATTTATGAGATTACTCCTAATTCTATCCTGACGCTCCTGTAACACGAGTCTCACAGGATCCGAACCGTCAAAGGATCGCGGGTAGTCTTCTCCTCTCTCGCTTGTTTGCTTGCTTGTCAGCAAAGCAACGAGTACACACATACACACGCGCGTATTCGCTCCGCAATTTGTCGAAAGCATAACACGTGGCGGCTCGAGAGTCCGACGGCTTGATCGATCGCGACGGCGCGAAAGACACGCGGAACTTATGCATTTACATAAACCGCAAATGCCGCGACCGTTCGTGTACGTGCGACAACGTATCGGCACACACTGGCGAGAGACCGCGTGATATTTTTACAAATTGCCAATCATCGATCGCGGCGAGGCAAATTGCTCCCAACGAGGCAGACGTGCGCGGCCTGTCTCCGGCCTGTCCTATCTGCACTTCCAATGGAAATCGTTGCGGTCGACGCTGCAGCAGCGAAAAAGCCGGCAGAGAACAAAGCAAAGCTTCATTTGCGTTGATAGTCCGCGCGGGATCTACATGTGGTAGTTCCACGTGGACGTACCTCGTGTGTACCTCGTATGTGGCCGCGTACACATATATTAAAAATCGTGCGCTTGTCCCTCGATTATCGATCCTCCGTGTCAAATTCCAAATGAATTTTCACCAAAAATCTACTTAGGATAAAATGCCCTATTATTAGCATCCCTTTGGCCATTGACACTCTAGAAGAAAGCTAGATACGACCAGTATTGTAGTTTGATTTCTTGTCTGCACTCTGAGCGATGTAATCAAAAGAAAACTTAGCTTTACTATAAATAAATCTATTATTAGCAGTCACTGAATAGATACTTTCTTAGACGTCTTTTCCCTCGCTGTACTTTATACGCGATTATGTAATTTTTGAAATTTTCTATTTCCCGTTGAATTAATTTTCATACAGCTGAATTGGAAATTAGAATATTGTTGCAGCGGAAGTCACAGCTGGAGAATAACACGCGGGGTAGATTTGTCACGATCGAGCTTATGCAATTAGAATATACGTGAAGCATTGTGATACCGATAACGTTCTTATCGCCAAACAGTAGCGAGATGCATCTGCCACGAATTAAATCCACAGTTGTCGGGCGTCTCGACGGGCAAGTCGCGGATTCAATTCTTCGTTTGATTTATCGCACGATCGCTATCAGGTTCGCTGTCCCTACATTCTTCGGTACTCGTGCGAAGCGACCGATAGATAGAAGTTATTTCGCCAGGCGATCGGCACAACCGTGTGCACTTCCACCGATATGTGTATGTGTGTGCGCGCGAGTTTGTATGCACTCTATCCCACCCTCTCGTCCCACCCTATGTCAAAAAATGTGCGCCAGTGCCGTCGCACCGACAACCAAATAACGGTGCAACGCGGCAACGTGCATTCCCCATGCATTGTCAGCGATGCATCGCGCCGAACTAGCGCGCTCGCCAGCAAATTATTTATCGATCGATCTTGTTGTGCGGCCACTAGCGAGGCTTTCCCAAAAATAATGGCCGACGACAATGGCCCGGCTAAATGACTGTCAACAATTCCCGATCGCGCGGACGGGCGACGACGGGCGTAGACATCGGCTCCTATTGTATGTTGATTAATAACCGTTCGCGAACGAATATTCATAGAATTCGCGAGTCCATCATACGGCAGAGCGACGGAATTCGACGTGAAGGTGCTCGCCGCGCTTCAGTGGATTCTGCCGCGGCGCTCCGCGCGCCCAACATTGATTTATACTACTTGAAATAGCGCCGTTTTCCGTATCGCTTGCTCGCGTTCGTGCAAACAAACAATTGAATTTCCAGTTAGTCAAACGTAACAAATTCTATGCTCGTCATTCGTTTCACCGGCTACCGCCGCCGCAGTCGCGGTTGAAAGAGAGGATAGTCTTGTTAAAAGGCGAAATCAAATTGGAATTTATCGCGAGGAATGCCGTGCCGCATTAATTGCGTCGTTTCCCAAATAAATTACATCTGAAAGTATATGTTGCTCGCGTCACGTGTTCAATGTTGCAAACGACGCGCAATTTCTTCGCTCGAAATTAAATGTTAAATGTTAAAAGCTCAACACAAGTAGTGACTGCGTTATCTCTTTGATTTCATCTAAAGAAAGGCAATATGACACCTATATCTATTGAAAGAAAAATAAAGCACGAGGATTATTTCTCCGTGATTATAAATAATTTTTCGGTAGTGAGTAAAATAAAAGTACGAATACCCTTACAGTAATAACACAATATTTAACTTCGAATATTCTTATTGTTTTTTTTTTAAATATAAATATTTCAACTTTGAATGTAGAATATATATATATATGTATTTAAACTTTGAATATAGAATATATGTATATGTATTCTTTATATGTGAAAGTTTAAATATTCATATTTAAAGACTAAAACAATAATAATGTTTAAAGTTAGGTATCGGTATTATTAATGTTCAGGTAATTGGTACTTTTACCTTATAGAATAAAATTCGTTTGCAAACTATATTTTCTGGAAGAGATTGAGGAAGAGCAAAAATCGATTGTCACGTAGTCAATCCACATTGGCATAACGTCGAAATAAAAACGGGATCCTCCAAATATCAACGATCGACTTTCCCGAGATGACTTCGAGTCGCCGAGATGAAATGTCGGTGATCATTCACACACGCTCGCGAGGACAGGGTGCGCGCTTCGGCGATTATTTTGCGCTTATTTCGGTTTATGGCTGGCCGAAAGGAGCGACGCAGAAGGTGCCAGGCGTAAGCGCGGCTCGTCCCTCGCCGTTCTTGGCAGATGCCGAGGCGAAATCGCGCATAAATCGCTAACGACGCGCACTTTGTTACAAAAGCACAGGCCTGGAGTCGCCGGGTTCTGCTACTGCCGCGACTTGATTTATCGCGCCAACGTGGACAATGCGAGAAATATTCTGGCGTGTTCGCTTCGTAAATCACGCTTCTTCGGCAGTCCATACACTGTGCCCCCATAGAGGAGGCCCCCGCTCGAAATATCACGGCGGTCCTCCCCGACCTGGCAAATGTACATATGCACGTGGGGGCGAGAAGAGCGGAAAGCGGTGCGAGAAAGGGAGAAGGAGGACAGATGAACGGGAGAATACAACGGGAGATACAGTCGCATCGGTATACGCGCCCGTAAATCACCAGAATCGCATTCGCGGATTCGGTGTTCTCAGCATCGCCCGCCGGAACAGTGTATTAATTCTTTTTTCCCCGTGGTTATGATAGGCGTATTCCTTTTCGGGATTCTCAATGAAACAATGACGTTGTCACGCTACATCTCTCTCTTTCCTTTCTTTCTTTCTCTCTCTCCCTTTCTCTCTCGTGGTCTTATTGCGTCCGAATACTCCTCCGACGTGTAACTCGGTTCTTCATTGCAACGAAAAATGCAAAGACACCCTAGACTCGAGATTCCGCCATGCATGAGATTCAAAAACCTACCTGTCGTTCTCTTCTGTATGATCTTTTCTTCGATGAGCGCTCTCACGCTGACCGACGCCGTCTGCAGGGGTGGCCCGACGACCTCTTTCTTTTCGCTCTTCTTGTTGTCCGCGTCCTGCAACACATGGTAAAAAGAGATACGTCGTCGTTAAATCGAGTGGAATAGCGCGTTAAATGATAAGAAAGCGCACACCAAAGTATAAATTTTCCGCGTCACGTTTGAGAATTCCCGGTTGAAAACACGAACGATTTGAAGGTGCTTCTCACTTATCGTAGCCTGAGTGTTTGACGCATCGAACACTCGTCTCATTAAGTTATCGCGGTCGAATATAGTGGCAGCGGAGGTCTCATTGGATAGGGCTTGGCTTGTCCAAAACTCGTAGTCTAACCAGAATCTTCATTGGACCCGACCACGAAGGACTCGTGACGAGAGATCTTGGATTAGAAGCTCAAATCACGGGCAAATTGACGCGCAGCGCACTAAGAGGACGATGTGGGAGCACTACAATGGTGAATAGGAGGAGGAGAAGGTGGTAGGAGCGGTGAAGGAGGAGCAGAGATGCACGCTAATCACTGAGCAAGGCTAATTGAGGCGCCCATTGGATTATATCGTAATGGAATCTCTAGCGTGTGCGATCCAACATCCTGTAATACGTCCCGGCGCTAAGGCGCCTCGGCGTCGTTTCAACTTGCTCGCGAAGAACGATCGCGTTGTCTCGATGATTCGGATTGCGAGTGCTCGCCGGCGGGTCATCATTACAGCGCAGCCGGCTTGGTAAATTTACTCATTCGTGGAAGTCAGAAATATCGAAAATTTGATTCATAACAGATAGGTGCATGAACTTTTCTCCCCACCTGACGCCACTTTTCGTCTTTCTTCCGAGATCGTTTACTGAGATCTTTCAGTCTCGCTCGTAATGCGCGCAGTGCTCTCGAGGAATTTCCAAGAGCATATATAACAAAATCCGTCCTCCTATACATTCGCAGTTGTCCCGCGGCGTTGCAGCATCGATCTTTCGGCCGAAACGACCAAAAGACATAATATCGTTGACGACACAATAGCGCGTCCCTGTCGTGGATTTATCATCGTCTCGCGCGTCGATCTATTATTATACTGGGGATTCGCTACCCGTGCATCCTCCGCGGGAGGCTGCACCCCCTCTCACCCTCTCACGGCGCGTTTGTCCGCAGGAGGATAAGCCGTTCTTCTCGGGACGCGCCGCGCCGCGAGATACAGGCCCCACTTCCTAACTTTCTAAGCGTAGGAATTCCTTCAAGTCCGCGTAATTTCTTTCCTCTTTTTCTCCAGGACGCGCACACACCCCCGTGAAAGTTATATTACTTAAAGTTTCCGCGAGTTACGCATGCAAGTGGACTTGGCGAGTCGTCCACGTGAAACACGTCGCTCCCCAAACACCGTTCGACCGTTCGACCTCCGCGAGTTTCGGGGCACGTTTATAATTAGCATACTAATACCGCCGAGAGGGTGCCGCGCATACATCTCCAGCACCTGTATCCCGCCGCCACCCTTGACTCGGAACCGCCGCGCGAACAATATATCAGCCCGGATACATATGTCATCATCGTCATCTTCATCAAGCCTTAATGGCCGGGGTGGACTCGCGCGCGCATACCCGCCACGGCTCGTCATCGCGGTCCTCAATTTCCTATCTCGTACTTCGATATGTGTTACGCGCACTTACGCACCCGGCCACACCGCGACCATATATGTATATATATATCACCTCCCGCGAAATTGAACTCTGTCTTTGACGGGACGTACACCGCTCGCTCGCTTCATGAATATTGATCGGCGGCCGTTAATACGCGGAATTGATTGCGGAACGTCCGCCGCGCCGCTTCCGGACTCATCAATTCGATCCGTGTCGATTCCAGCTACCAGGACGAATTATCCCGGGACCCACTACTGTTCGAGATTAGACTTTCGCGACTCCGCGTTTTTCGCCGAATTATTTTCGCGCGAGCCTCAAAAATGTGCGAAACTTCCGTGGGCGGGAATTTATCTATCATCTCGCTATTTCGCAGGTAACAGTCACAATTGTGGACCGAGTTCCAAAATATCGAGTCAAATTATCGGTTTATCATATATTAAAAGAATACACATTATATGATGAAAAGACGGAAAATGATTTTTCGTATTATTTGCTGATATATAACTCATATATAAACTTAAATGTTTCTAATTATTTTGTTATAATTCAGAAACTAATTTAAAGTCTAATAATTTCATTTTAAAACTATGACGTTACTTGCTTATTGGTATCATCAGTTTTAACGTTTAACCAATAAATTTAAGCAAATGATTACAAGTTTTACTCTAACCTTAAACGATCCATAATTCGGACCGTTACTCCGTAGGCGACGGTCGATTGTGCTAACGCTCTTCTACAAGCTATATGGAAAAGAATGGAGAACCCCTCAGTAATTTATATCCTCACTTGTCGGTCTGCCAAATTTTAAATCGCGTTTATATTCTGGTAAAAATCACACGATCATGATCCGACTCCCTACCCTCGACCCTGTGCCGGATGCATCTGTTGGTTACTTTTTCATTTTGCGATCGTGAAAGTAATACAATTCGGCAGAGGAAGCATGCAGACTACGTTCCAGAGCACGACGATACAGGGGACGATTAATGGACGACGTTAGCGAAGTCCCGCGCGGCAATTTCCGATATATTTCTTGTTCTTATCTTAGCTCTCTCGAGGCATCGATCAATCGACGATCCATAGCGCCGTGCGCGCGCGTATGTTTCCCAACAATCCCTACTGCCGACGATCAATCGTGCTAGACGTCAACTACTTACAGAAAATAAATCTGAAGCGCGTCGGCGCAGATTTATTGCTGACGATTTATCGCTCCGAAAAATCATTCGTCACGCCGGCGGTACGCGTAATGAAAAACGGTCGCGTTACTGCGACCACGGTAGTGCGGTAGCGGCATGCGCGGGGTGAATTCCTTCGAAAGTACAACAAATTACACGCCGTAATTCGCTCTAAAACCCGACTACACGTCTATCCGTGGGCTCGCTCGCTCGTTCGCCTGCTCCCGAAAGAGGCGCGGGATTAACAACAGCTGCCACTTAACGAACCCAAACGCGGTTGCTACCTCCTCCCGCCGCGCCGCGACGCGCGCCCTAAACAACACGAGCGCGGTTTCACGGTGGACGAGGCTCTGCCTACAACCCCCCGTGAGTTTTCGTGTTTTCAGCCCCGTCTTCCGCGCCCCAACTGCCCGCATACGACATGCATTAATCCGTTACACACATACACACACACACGCACACACACACATATGTAAAAGAGTGTATTCCGCCGAATCCGAAGGGCCATCGAAACTTTTCAATAATTCCGTGGCGGCCGGTGCGTGTCGGGCAAAAAGCTCGGCCGGCAGAGCCACCGAAAGAGGGGATGATGTCGGAAGGGAAGCTTTCGCGGTAACGCAGCGCCCGTTGGTCCCGCCGGTCGAACACGGACGGAGAGAGAACACGCAGAGAGAAGCCGAGAGCAGCGAAGAGGAGAGAGGAAGAGAAAGTACAGGGTGGACGGCAGGAGGCGGAGGTATCGCGGTGAAAACTCGGGTGCTCGGAACGAGAGCAGCGCCGTTGAAAACCCCGACCGTAACCAGTCAGATTCAATCTGCATAATGGAGAAAGCTCGAGACAATGTTTGCACGGGCCTCTCCGCGCGTGCTAGGTTTCTCTTCCGTCTCTTTCTTTCTCTCTCTCTCTCTCTCTCTCTTCTCTCCCCATCTGGCCGTTGAATCGTCTCGGTCTCTTCTCCTCTCGCTTATTCTCCCTTTCTCCCCATCCCCGGCGCGAACTCGCTGCGGATTGGTTCGGGGATCGAGTGGAACCAAAGAGCTTGTTAATGGGTTCATTTGGATTCGATCATCGCCTTACCTTTCCCATCCACCGTGCTATCTACGTCTCCCTCCAGCCCTTGGCCGCGCTTTATCTCGCCTTCGCTGATTTACTCGCTCTCGCCCGCCTCGTTTCAATCTTTACTCTATCGAGTCGTTACCAACCGGTCTTTCCACCCGCCCGCTTACGTAGCGATGAATGGAATAAGGAGAGACGGGACGTATCACATCGGGCAGGAGACGAGGGGGCGGCGAATCGTTATATGCGGTCGTTAAAAACGTTGATTGGAAAATTAATTCGACGTATTTGACGGAATCGCCAAGAATCCCGGCCGGTGATGGGAAAGCAGTCTCAAGATCGAATCAGGACGTGCGATTATGCGCGTGACGAATCGAGGACAGATCATTAAGCAATTAAGCACACCGACAGACGTGCTCCCCGCATTGCATATTTTTCTTGATCGCACTCTCGACTATTTGCGTCTAACGATTCTCGCGAGTCTTGTATCTTCACTGATCACCGTAGCGAAACTCGCTGAATCGGAAAAGAAGTCCCGATTTATATGCAGCATTTCAATATATCGATTATAATTCTTCTCGGCCTCTCCGTCTTGCTTTTTAACGCCCGCCGCCACCAGACCGGTTTATTCTCACCCGTTTCAGCGCCGGTTACGTCATCGTCTTTCAATTGCAGAATAAAGAACACCGCCATTCGCCGCCTCTTGCTGCCGAGATCGAATGAAAAAGGGGAAACTTTTGTCCGATGAGTTTTTCAGCACTTTTCCAAACGCGACGCAGCCTTCGTTAAGACATTTTTAATCAGTGCCAGAAGAACACTGGAGACGGCGGGGACAGGCGAGGGGTGCACAGGTAGGGAGAAAAAGAGAGAAAGAAAGTGAGACGGTGGTCGTAAAATCGCTGATCTTTCTATTTCAACGGCTGTAACAATCCCTTACCCCCTGACCTTATTAAGAACACCGCTGTTCGCATCCTCCTCCGTTCGGGTACGATGAACGAGGAGGAAGCGAAGGGAGAAGAGAGAAGGATGAAGGGAACAAGAGGACAGCAGCAAAGTGTGCTGAAGTCACGCGGATCTCCGAAGGCGATCTCGGCTCTCTTATATCACTTTTTGCTCTCTTCCGCGCCCTCGCCGCGGCGATTATCACCCCGAGGATGCATCTCCTCGAGTATCGCGCTCCTCTCGAACGACTCGAGACGCCGGCGGAGGCCTGATGAGATTTTCATAGAAACGCCGGTTGATTATTCGGATGCACCGCGCCCGCGAATTCGCGCGATTGCGAATTCATATGGTGATGCAAACGGCGGCGCGCTATAACTTCGGCGAAACCGCGCGGAGATTTTCTTTCTCTCTCTCCCTCGAATATTAAAGTTTTCGCCGAAAATGAAGTTTGGACGACGCGCGCTCATTCGCGCGGATGCAAATGAGATAAGCCGCCGCGAGATGAGTTCCTTTATGCCAAAGATACAGAGCCGCGCGGCTCCAAGTTTTGCGGACGCGTGATCTTACAGTTCTGGGACAATATTCGCAGGTCATTTCTTCGGTGGATTCGAAAAGAAATCGATACGCGGCAATTTTCTGCGCACGTGCGTACGAGTCGCGTGATTCCTTTCTGCAGATCTACAACAGATTGACGACACGCTCGGGACACCGAGTAAAGTAGTAAAGTTCGACACGTCAAATTAATACGCGTGAAGTATCCGCAATCAGCGAACAAAGATATACCTGATTACGAGTACTTTTAAACTTCGACACCGGTTATTTCGACTCGACAGCACGTAAGAGAATACTAACGATTGTAATCCGCAGTTTGCGCGCGGATTTAGAGATACGTCGCGTACATTTAAGTCTCTCGATTGTAGTAACGCGTAATTGCTACGTTTAGAATACGCGAGTACGTAGCGAGTCGCACGCGTGACATAAGTTACAAGATAAAACATTATTAGAATATCTCAAGCAGGGCAGAAGTCCTTCTTATCGGGCTCCACCCCTCAAGCTTTCGCAAATCCGCATAAATACGTAAACGAGCGCTCCCCCGAGCGTTACCCTTATCAAATATGAAATTTACCTTTTTGAAGTAACCACCGTGGAGTCTCATATGGCCATTAAGAGCCGGTATGTTTTTAAATTTTCGATGGCACAGATTGCACTCCACCGGTTTCGGCTCCGTTTTGTTGGTAGTCGCGGCGGTGCCAGGAGACGATGAGTTTCCGGGAGACGGGCTACCCTTGCCCACATTTCCGCTCCCTGGTGAGCCGACCTGTTGTTGCTGCTGTTGCTGTTGCTGCTGCTGTTGCTGCTGCGCCTGTTGTTGCGCTTGTTGCTGTTGTTGCTATAACAGTAATGATAATTCGATTCATGAGCAACGTGCGTTTCTGAAATTTGCGGAATCGTATTGTGAACGTTGTTCACTATTAGTCGCAACTATTTAAATTTCTTTGTACCATTTGAAAAGTACTTTGCTTTACAAAAATTTCAGCTGGAATATGATATTACAAACTCAAAGCTCCAATTGCTTTGTAACGAAAATGGAAGGATGCAAAAGGAGACCTGACGAACTCGAACAAAAGCTTCGAATTTCATTATTTGATTAATTTAGCGGAATTTATCGGCGAAATTACTTTCTGCTATAAAAAAAGATAGAGCACGTGATTCAATTTCCGATGTGGCCCACGCCACATTCGTCGAAGAGCGTGCTTCGAAGCGCGGCTCAGATACTGAGAAGCAGAGAGACGTCGCGTGTAATTATGCTCGGGACCTGGTCGATCCTGAATTTCGCGGAGAATCGCGGAGAACGAAATGTGTTTATAAAATATCCGTAACGACCTTATTAGCCGCGGCGGTGGCGGTGGCGTAACGACTTTGCGCAAGGCCGGGAATAATTGAACAAAGGGCTCGAGTCTCTTTTGCGACGAACCCTCTTTCTTTACAAGATGCGACATCCGAGCTCAGTGCCTTCCCTCGAAAAGCTCGTCGCAAATTTTTCAACGGGGACAGTCCGCTCGTCCACCGCGCGGGCGTCTACCCTTCCTCCCCCCCTCCTCCCTACGCTCTTTAGCCAACATCCTCGCGGTGAGAAGGCGAAATTCCAGTCGAATGATAGCGTAGCACGCGTAATACTAATATGACTATGTAGTACGCGAAAGTTCTCGCTCTCTGCCCGCCGGTTAAGCCCTCTCGAGGGCCGGAGAGCCGTTCCTCTTCCACCTGCTCCGGAGCCTTGTAGAAACTCTCCGCAACTTCGTAAGCGCGTAAGAGGGAATAGAGATGGGAGAATTGCTAACTACAGATCGAGAACGTTGCACGCCCGGTGCACAATTTGCATCGCCTTCCAGGCGATACCGGGGATCGTCCGGGGACGCGAGATACGTCGCGAAGGCCGACTGTTGTGTATTATAATATATTATAACTTCGCTTTTGTGTTTTAGCCCGGTGGTCTTAACCGGCTCTTCTCTCGGCTCGATGTGAATTATGACGCTCTGCGGCTCGCTCCGGGATCGTCTCGATTTTTCATGGCAATACGATGGCTTTGTTCGCGATGTTCGAACGATTTCGAATGTAATTACGCACGATTAACGATCACGTCGACTGTATTATCGAGTTTCGCGTCGATCTGTCGACGGCAAAAATGGAATGCGATTCGTCGCGTTTATGCAGTTCTCATTCGATATGCAAATCATTTCATTGTTCTTCTTTGAATTTCAGTATGATAGATTATAGAATAATTTGCACATGCACAGTAAATTTAAATATCTTTAAATTATATGCTCAATAATCTAAAAGAAAATATAAAATTATTATTTGCTTGAGGTTCTCCTCGAGAATTGAGATTTCGTGTGTGCGCTCTCTTCCTCTCCTTTATTTTGTACGGTTCACTAGACTAAGCGCGTGCTATATGCACGTGGGCTTACTTTCTCTACCTACATCTCCATTCGCGGCGTACAAAACTCCTGTCGTATAAGTTGGAGAATTGCCGCGAGAAGAGCGAAGTTGCTTCCTCTTCCATCAGCCTTCCGGAAGAGCCGAGAATTCTAAGCTTAGTCGTAAGTACATATTCGACGTTGCCGCGGGGCATGTCAGGATAAGAGCTTTGAAAATTTAATAACTGTAAGTAGATCCAATACTCGATATCCTGTAGAAGTAACCCAAAAGGTCGCGCATTTAAAGCACGGAAGCAATACAGTGAGTATTGGCGAATTATGGATTGACGCGGAACTTCGGCGAGCAAGAAATTCGAGTTTCTATTAAATTTATACACACAAAATTGAGCGATAATCATTTGTCAAATATCGAATGATACTCATCGATTCTCATCACGTTGCTTGGAATCATCCGATGATGTATTGTCACTCGGTCAGTCTACCACTTTTATTCGGCGCGAAAAACGTCCGCTCGCATCCAAATAGTTTCTCCGCTTTTGATTTGCAAGCGGAGCCACACGTAGCCACACGTGCGCCGTACGTGATAGGAATTCGGAAGCAAGAGAGCCGAGAGCAAGGAGCCACATATACATCCGCGACTCTTCTTCATGTCTCATCCTTATTCCTCAGCCTTCTTCGCCCCAATAATAACGGAACGTTACTCGGCCTTAACTACCCTCTCTTCTTTAAAGTGATTCGCGCCTGCACTCTTACCCATGTGGCAGAGAGTGTCTCTAACTAGAAGTACCGGTGCTATTAAAAAGCCAGAAATGGCTTTCGCCGATTCGTGCTATTCATTTCTAATTTCGAAACTTCAAGCGCGCGCGCGGTCAGACGAGGCTCTTTGTAGGAATTTATGGGATTCTTTATTGAGACGCGGCGCACGCTGTCTCTATATAGAAATTCTTACGGAAAATTACAGAATTCCTTGGGGAGAAGCATTTGAAATCTTTCATCAACCTCTGCGCCGAATATTGTGAGCTCAGTATATACAGCGCCACTCAAGCTACCGCCTTTTGTCACTTAGAGGGAAAAGAACGTATTTCCGGCGAGTGGGTCGCGCGCGCGTCGGCGACGAAAGGAAGTCGGGAAGAAAGGATGACAAACGGTAGGGGGTTGTGCGGAAGGATAGCAGCGGGTGTCTTCATAAAGCCTGATCACCCGCGGCACGGGCCGCGTAATTACGTGAGAAAGAAACGCATAGGGCGCGACGAGGGACGCGACGTCGCGTCGGTAATCAAAGGACGCTCCGTGCGTTGACGCACAATTAACCCCGCGACCATGCGCGCCCCTTTATCGGGTGCGTTTTTCGCGGACGGATAGGAGTCCCTCCATTCGCCCGTCGTTCGTTCCGTTTACGCGCCGGGGGAAAAAGCGCCGAATTGCGAAAAAACTTTTTGACACGCGAGGACGGGTGTAGATTCGCGGACGAGAGCGCCGGATGATCGTGTCCGCATCGTGACACGATCGTCGCGGCGAAAAAAAAAGGACAAACAAAAAAAAACTGCTACAATCGATTCCGTTTGGTGACGCGACGCGAGTGCGAGATATGTATCAGTTATTTAATCGTTCTAATGGATCGTGCTCGCGCGTGTCGTTTGTTTGGAAAATCTCTTGCGCGAAAATGTACATCGCGTCATCACGAACGCCTTCTGGAATCAGTGACACACGATGTGCACAATGATTTCCCTCATACTACGGATCGGATAACGTGTGTCGGTCATTATGTTGGATTTAAAGTGTCGGGGGATCAAACTCCAACCCCTCAACGGGCTTAGGGCGTTAAACGTCAAACGTTAACCCTGGCGGGCTTAAAGTACTAAAGAGATGAACGTACGTAATCATTGACAGCTATCTGTCGTTCGTTAGCGCGCGCGTGAGCACGAATTCGATTGTTTTTTCCACTACCCTCTCCAAACGTGCAGAACGCATAATCCACCGGCGACGTTGTCCGACGTTGTAATTACGGCTCGTTGACGTAGAACCGATATGTGTAAAGTAGATTACACAGTCTATTGTAAAATAAATAATCTAACTACTATATCATTACTAGCTTTTTAAAATTGGATAACGAATCAAAACTGAGGATACGTTGATTTCATAAAAATCTTAAAGATCAAAATTGAACATTGGGTTATTAATTAGCAACTATTTATGATTTTTTACTGATAACCGTCATTTCGTTTGTTTAATCAGCTAACTTAATTATGTAGCCACTCGGAGAAACGAGTGTTACGCTACTGGCTGGTAGTGATGTTAAATACAAATTTATTATCTTGTAGCTAGACACCGACAAGGTTCAATTTCTACTGGGGAGGTTGGAAATTCAAATTGAATGCTCAGTCAGAACCGTTAGTGCTGACAAAATCGCTTTAATTCGCGAGTGCACGCGTGATTACGTCACCACTCTCGCGAATCCGCCGCTATTTCGTTCTCCGATCGTACCACGCGTCGCTGATAGATCTCGCGAGATAGCTATCGATCGCAAGCGTCGCCCACGATGCCGCCGGCTCATCTTTCACGGCACCGAGGCACTCGATCGCGCCAGATATCTCATCAATTTCTGCAAACAATCTTCGATCCCGACGTGCTCCTGAATTTCGTTCCACAGCGTCTTTGCACCTTCGCCTCGTGTCACGGCGACGGCAACGCGTCTACTCACCGGGATGTCTTCGAACGCAAACGAATTTTGCCATGTGATCCCCATCGCCGCCGACGAGAAGGAGAATTCCCAGATTAAAATGATGAAACGCCACTTTCGCGCGATGCGATATTTGGTTTCGACCGTACTCAGAAAAGTGGTCTCGCAGTCATAGAGAAAAGAGATAAATGAATGTATAATCCTCACATCTACCTAAATTCGCTTGCAAATATTGCTAGAATGCTATTTTTTTATGTATCATAGACAAATTTCTAGCAGGTACAAAAAACAGCAATAAATTTTTCAAAATTCAATCTAGACCAGCCGAATATTTTTCTAAATGTGTATTTTCCAATCAGTTCGACTAAATAGACATTGGGGAGTTAAGCCCTGCGTCCCTATGTCATCTAAACCGACACGCTTTTTATTCTCTCATTATATTTTAAACGCGATTTTTATAAAAAAAAAAAAGAAAAAACACTTTACAAAAATTTTGCCTCGTCGCGACGTGCCTCTATCGCCGATTTGTCGCACTCGCCATTGAGAGTTCACGCTGAACTCCTTTCTGCGTTCTGCTCCTTCGGAATTAATGCGGGCTACATTGGAGGCGCATCAGAGAAGCGCACCCGCGATCACGGCGTATTCCTTTTGCACTCGCCATTAGCGTCGCTTCGACAGTTTCGCTGCCAGGTCGACGCAATTGTCCCAAGAAGCGCGAGTAACGTCGTTTCTCCACCTCGGAAAGGAAGAGAGAGAGAGAGGTGTTGCGAC